AAGATCCCAGGTGGAAGAATAGAACATCCCAATAAGAACAGTAAACAGATTCAATAACTCGAAGAATCCGCGTAGCAATCGCTTTGCACGGCGAACACATGCACTCAATATAGTTTGCGAACTGTCTTTATATTTACAAAACCGCCCTTCATATCAGAATGAAATTTTGCACACAGACAGTCATAAACATTTTCTCTAAATAGCAGATGTTATGTTATGTTTTGTTCCATGTTTGTGACGTCACAATGTGAAAAAGACGTCAATATTATATAGATGGCTTGTGACCAACAAATGGCCGACTTAGCCGTACTCGAACAACGAAAGGCTGTTAAGTTTTACGTTTATCTTGGAAATTCCTTTGCAGTAGCTTAAAATAATTTGTACAAGGTTTTTTTGAAGACAAAAGACTTGCCAGAAGTTCAATCATAAATTGGATTGATTGTTTTAGTGAGGAAAGGGAGATGGTTAAAAATGTATGTTTGTTTTGGTGCCCAGTGAAAGTAAGCTGGGGGAAGAGATGTGTCCTTGGTTGAGCAATTTATTATGAAAGATCGCCAAGTTACAGTTAGGAATATAGTTGAATATCTTAAGAATATTATAATTATTAAATCCCTAAAAACCGTTTACTTTAGACTTTAACATATAAGATACGTTAAAAAGAAGGCGACCGTGCTTTATCAAAAATGGAAAAACGACGCACCCAAGACAGAGAAGTCGGGTTGTGATGGTCACCATGCTCATTCTGGGAAAAGATATCCTTATCCACCCATCCCATTGCCGAGACTTGGCCATTTGCGACAAATGGACTATTCTTGTATTAAAAAATAACTTGCATGGTAAGAAATATAAGACTTGGAAAAAGCTTTTGGCCTCTGTGAACAGAACGCTACGGAGCATGTCATGTGACCGCCTGTATCACGTGATTCGTGCATGGGCAGAACGGTGGCAAATGTGCATTAAAATCGGAGAGGAGTACTTTAAAAAATGATAAACACCGAAATCTAATTTTATTTCTTTTATGCAAGTTATATGATTAGTTCGCGAACTTTTTGATCACCCCTCGTACATTGTATATGATTCTATTCGTACTGACTTAGAAAACTTCCTTAAGGAATGTGTCTTTTTTGTTACAATTACCAAGTTGTCCAATATACATGATTATTGATTAACATTGTTCATATGTCTAAAATTTGTATTATTATTATTTTTTCTTTTGTTGGTTATTATTCAAATTTTTGTGGAAAATCCTAATATCAATGTCAAAATGCATTTCTTTTTCCTTTCAATATATTATGATTATGAGATTCAGTCTAAAAGATGAAGCAACATTGTGAAGAGATTGAAAATATTTTAAATTAATGAAGAATAAATTCACAAACTTACATGTTCTTCAGAGGATGTGTAAAAAAAAATATGTGAATAAAAAGAAATCGACTTTATAACTCCGGACGTCGGAAGAATAGGAGAAACTATATGGATAGGAACTCCATAGATTAATTTTAATCAAAGTCCTTTATAATATAATGTATTTAATAAAATATTAATTCTGACCTCTTCATATCATGTCATGTGCTAGTATCGTTCATTGATATGATCCCAAAATGCCTTTAACTGCATAGAAATAAAAACACCATACTTTTCATTTTACCATGACATTGATGTCATACGTAATAGTTTTGGTACTTGAATGGTTGGTAGAAATACATCCACTGTTTTCAATAAATCAGCATAAATATCTTAACTGATCGTTAACCTGACAGAATTGCTGAAGCTATATAATTCACATGGACATCACAGAAAGTCTGAATTGCGTTTTTTTACAAAAAGGAAATTTATTCTAATTCTAAGCCTTCAACAGAGAATATTTGGAACTTTTATGCGTGTCAGGCTAAATGGATGAGTCTTAAGTTGTTTGTATGTTGCTTACCGTAGAAAAATGTTGAAAGAGGGAGATCTATAATTTCCAATTGGGGTCACAAATTTTATAAAATGATAGAAAAATTACTATTACCCCGTAATAATAATGATTTATTTTCTGGTTGATTTTCAGAGTAGAGAAGGACATATTTGGTTTCTTCTTTTTAGTCCACCACTGAGAAAATTGTTGTTTAACCACTTGAACCTTTTGATCATACAGATATTCTTTGAAATAGAGTTTTATGCCCTTATAATAGAAGATTCGGGGCATGTAGTTTTGCCCTGTCCGTCGTCTGTCAGTCTGTCTGTCTGTTCGCAAAACTTTAACCTTGCCCATAACTTTTGATTGGTTGGAGCTATGGTTTTTATATTTCACAGATTTATTTCTTGTAACAAGACCTTTCTTTGGGTACTATAATATATGACGTTTTGACCTTGACCTTGGAATTTAACCAACTTTTGAAAATTTAATGAGATTTTAAACTTTTGAACAGTTGGTGTCTGGGCATTCAAACTTCACATGTATATTCCTTGTGACAAGGCCTTTCTTTGCATACCAACAACTTTGACTCTTTGTCCTTGACCTTGGAGTTCGACCTACTCTTGAAAAAAAAACCCACTAACCTTGGCCATAACTTTTGAACAGTTGGTGCTAGGGCTTTCATATTTCACATGTGTATTTCTCGTGATATGACCTTCCTTTGGATACCAACAACTTTGACCTTTTGACCATGGAGACTGACCTACTTTAATTTTGAAAAACTAAACCTTGTCCAGCCATAACGTTTGAACAGTTAGTGCTAGGGTTCTCATACTTCACATGTGTATTCCTTGTGACAAGACCTTCCTTGGATAACAACATCATTGACCCTTTGACCTTGGAGTTTGACCTACTTTTGAAAAACTTAACCTTGGCCATAACTTTTGAACAGTTAGTGCTACGGCTTTCATACTATACGTCAAATGTATATTCCTTGTGACAAGACCTTCCTTTGGATACCAACAATTTTGGGATTGACCTTGACCTTGGAGTTTGACATTCTTTTAAAACACTTTAACCTTGGCCATAACATTTGAACGTTTGGTTCTAGGGCTTTCACATTTCATGAAGATTTGTATCACTTGTCACAAGACCTTCCCTTGGGCACCATTTGACCTTAACCTTGACGTTTTACTTACTCTTAAAAACTTTAACCTTTGCCATTTATTTTCATTGGTTGGTGCCAGGGCTTTCAAATTTTACAGGTTTATTCCTCGTGACATGACCTTTCTTTGGGTACAAACATTTTTGATCTCCTAATCTGGAGTTTGACTTGCATTTGAGAATCTTTAACCTTCGCCATAAGTTGCCATACGGGGGCATCAGTGTCTCACAAACACATTTTGTTCTTACATAATTATTATGTATTGCAGTAAGTCAATCGACATTTTCCTGTATTATCCTCGATTTATGTATATATTTGCTAGAATATATAGAAGGTGAGAAGTGAGAGGACAAAGATTATTCAAACATATTCGTTTAGAACAACATTTGATACAAAACGTCGATTAAACACGTGTATCATGTTCATTTCCGAAAAATAGATAGTCAGAAGCCTACAAGGGCCGACAGTGGCGATTCTAACACAGGCACTTGTTTCGTTAATAACCTTTTTAACCCATGATATAATAATAATACTTTGGGTTAAAAAATTTATTACTGAAACAAGTGCCTGTGGATTCTAACCAGAATTAATAGACAGTTCAAATCTGATACATATAATAAAAACCGAAATAACATATGCTCCGGGTAATTAAAAATGAATCTTAATTTTGAATGACTAATATTCACCGTTTATATAGCGGGGTCCTCCCCCTACCCTCAACCTTAGACCTGGATTTATAGGAATGGACTGGGGAGGGAATAATAGAAGGTTCTAGCCCCAATGTCTCTTCCAAATTTCCATTCCCTTGCTCTTTGTGGAAAGGGAAGTAATTCAGAAATCGGAACGGATATACGAGCATGGTATAAACCCAACGTGTAACTGCAATCCATTTTCGGAAGCCTTTGATCAAAATGTTAGTTCCCCAGCTACACATAGGAGTACAACAATCTTGTAAGTTTAAATTCTGAATAATTCATCGCAATCTTTAATTTTGAAATTCAAATTCTTATCCAGTTTGCTTGTGAAATTTAACATAATGTAAATTTGATGAAAGTTCCTCGAAATAATATCGACCGTTGAGCATTGGGGAAAAAAAACACTTCCCTTCTAAAAATTTTTATGCATTTAAAAACAAAAACAAAAGTGACATCCAATTGAACTCCCGTGATGACATTGTCCCTCAAAAGAATTGCTTCCTTTGCATGTGATTTGATCTGTTTTTAAAAACGTATGGTATACTCTTTCGCTAAGAATAATTTAATTTGAAATTCATAACTTCATAAAGGATTAAAATCATCTATCAGGAACTTTAATCGAATCATCAAAAGCAAGGTTTGACATTTGTAGAGCGCCTTTTCAAATTTATGCTTCTAATTGAAAAAAATAATTTTAAAAAATCCTATCTACCTACTGATCCACTTTGTATCATCATGTAATAGTAAACTTTTTTTTCTTAGAACTTAGTTTCCCCAGTTTTATTTTATACACTTGTTGTGTATACATGTTACAAAATAATGTAGGATGAAAGACTGAAAAATGCAGAATAAATTTAACCATAGAAAAAATGAATATAATTTACGATAAAAACAAATATTGCAGCATACAACTAGATATACAGCCCAGTTTTTTTTAAATGCATCCTTTCTCCATTTGATAAAGAATACATAATATTTTTTTATTATTCAGTTCAACAAACTGTGACCGATATATTTCACATGTTCTTGTATACTTTATTTTCTCCCTTTTGTTTTAAAGATCTCATGAATTTAGAGACATTTAAATGATAAAAATGTTCTTTACATGTAGGTTTAAAAAAAAATAGATACGCAAAGTAAGTGTTCAGAGAAATGCGACATTAGGTCATGCATCAAAAGCTCGTTTGTACCGAATATAAACCCACTTAATCTTACACACAATTTTAATTGACACTTCCTATTCGTCAGTTCGCTCTTAATTCTACATCTCACCTCTGATGTAATAATCAGCACTATGATAAACAAGAGAAATTAGCTTGGGACGAATAACTAAGGAGAACTTCAATAATTGATGAACTTCTTCTCTATAACAACGGTTGATAAACAGTTTTCTGAAATTTCGCGTATCGACAGTTTGGTTTGTGCTTCCCCGATTGACACTGGAACTCTTCAGTCTCGGGAGATCACAAATTGCTGTCGATAATGTGACTTCTGATTATTCCAAGTATAAGCAAGTGTCAGAGGATATCGACTTTTGAAATCAGGAGCGCTTGATGTTTTCTTCCTGTAACTCGGCAGTGATAGAACGCCTTTTTTTTACTATTAGGCCGGTAAAAACAAACGAACTAAGAAGAAATATATTTTCTTTTTTCACGGAAAGAATTTATCATGTGCAAGGAAAATTTTTACAATGATTCGATAGTTTGCTATCGTTTAAATAACCTGTCCTTCTGCAAATAAGACGTTTTGTAATCGGTGGTTTTGGGGGTAAGGTAATATTTTAAGCACTGACAGTTTTATCATGTTTTATTAAACTGTACCGGATTATGTCATATTAGAATTAAAATGGAGGTGTTCCGGTGTTCGTTATTTTTTCTGTTAGCGACAGTTTTTGCGGAAAAACGTAGAATTGCACGCTCGGAGCCCGAAGGGGATCTTGTGATCGGGGCCCTCTTCCCCGTTCATAAGGGTCCTAAGGATTTGACGGGGTACACTCGAACTTGTGGCGAGGTATGGGAGCAGTACGGGATTCATCGTGTGGAAATATTTCTTCGGACCCTTGAGGAAATTAATAACGATCAAACCTTACTACCAAACATCACACTGGGATACGACATTCGTGATTCGTGCTGGTATTCTCCTATTTGTTTAGAACAAAGCATAGACTTCATCAAGGACTCTATAGCAAGTTTGGATAAATCACAATCAAAAAATACAACGGGTCGGTGTAAAACTGAAAATCGAAAACCAATTGTTGGTCTAATCGGACCTGGGACTAGTCAAAACTCCATACAAGTTCAGAATTTACTGCAGATTTTCAAGCTTCCACAGATTGGCTATTCAGCTACAAGTATGGAATTAAGTGACAAGAATTTGTACAAGTACTTTATGAGAGTGGTTCCCTCGGATATGTTTCAAGCACAGGCTCTCTTGGACATAGTGCTGCAGTTCAACTGGACGTATATTTCAACTGTCCATACTGACGGTAAGTCTCTCTCTCTCTCTCTCTTTCTCTCTCTCTCTCTACACACACACACAGTTAACATGTGTTTTAATTTGTTTTCATCCCTGCTTACAAATTCCTTATCAGGTCTGGCAGACGTACATATCATGCTAATCGTGTACAAAGTAGTAAATTCTCTCATCCATCACCAATATCTAAAATGCCGTCGAATAATTAAAAACAATTTACATGCACACTTAACCTTTATTTTACTTCCGCAGGTGTCACTACCTGAACTATAGGTGACACAAATACAAACCACACAAAAAAAAAAAAAAAAAAAAAAAAAAAAAAAAAAAAAATGAAATTTTAGTTTTAAAACGAGTAGGAGTTCTTTTTCCGTTTTATTCATGCATGGGGCAAGCTTGATTTATAATACGACTACAGAGTTTTTACCAGTTAGATCCTTGCGATCGATTTTTTGTTGACTCTTAAAAGATCGTTATCTCGTTGCACGGGGAAGTAAAATCTAATGTGTCCTCCAAAAAGAAAAAAACAAAACAAACAAAACAAAACAAAAAAAAAGATAATTAATAAAATAAAATATATGCACAAACAAAAAATATATACGAAAGATAAGTTTTCTTCACTCCAAATGAAAGACGTGTTACTGAGTTTTAATATGTCTGATTACTTATCCTTTTTTTCTCCTGATAGTTTTTTTTTTTTTTTTTTTTTTTTGTAAAGCATTGGAGAAATCTATTAAATGCACATTCAAGTGTCTGTTTCGTTGTGATTAAATAAAGCGTGTCTGCCTTTGAGTACATCATATGTGAATGGCACTTGTGATATAATCAGGAGGTTATTTTTATGACCTTATGAATAGTTTAAACATTTTTTCCTTAGTGCAAAATCGCACGTGTAATCTTTTTTTTTTTTTTATCAATGACATGAATTACTTCACCCACATGCTAACTACCTCTTTTAGAAATGTTTCAATGTTTTCTTCTTGTGTTGTTCAAGGTTTAAATTCACTGCAAACTTTAAATGCGCTGTTACAGGCAGTGAATTTTCTTAACGGATCTAAACCTTACGTAATCGAGATAGACCACCGTTTCAACTGAAGAATATATGGCAATCCTACAAATGCTAAACGTCACCTGTAACTTAATTACAACAGGTGAAGAAATGGAAACACCTTAAAACCACAAAGCACCTCTATCAATGAAAAACATGTCATCTATATCGCTTTTTGTTTACAATTTTACTCAAAAGAAGAAGCGGAGGTAAGGGTCATAAAATCAACTTATCAAACTAACAATGACTTGAATTAAACATTTTTTAATTTCAAATTAGGATTACCAGAAGATACGACAGAAAGTTTTTTTTTTTTTTTTTTTTTTTTTGTTTTTTTTTTTTTTTTTTTTTTTTTGGGATGGTGTAAATTAATGAATTTAGAAATAAATATTCATGAAAAAGATACACTTGAAAGATCAAAGTAGTAATTGGTGCAAAAAATTGATAAATAATTAAAACAAAGATAAATCTAAAGATATATTTTGAGTGGTGCACAGCAGCAAATTAAGACCAGATATCAAAAATGAAAAAAATACATAAAAGTCACCAAGTTCCACGAAATTAAGAATAAAAATAATTATTTGACAAGACATGTCTAACGCAAATCAATTAAAATGCACCTTGCCTGCTGCCCAATCCCATTCACTTTTTGTGAATAAAATTGTGTATAAATAAAAAGTCTCCCACACCTACTTTAACTGCTATGAAAGAAACATTTATTTCAACAGAAAAAATTACTCTTAAGTAATTAAAAAAAATTCTTCAACGTGATCTGTTTTGGCTAATTAAGAAAAAAAAAGAATCTGTTATAACAGCTTGTACCTTTTCTGTCCTCTTAAATTCAATGACTTACTTGAAACGGGCAGAAATTTCATAAATGTATGACCTAAAACAATTATTTGTGGTTTTTACAAAAAACGATAACAATGGACGTAAAGTGCAGTTAGTGCCGTCTGTAAAAACCCAGCACTCCTACACTTTTACGTCAAAAATTTCAAAATACAATTATTCTTGCACTGAACTTGTGAATACAATTTTCTAAAGCTTGTCTCAAACGTAAGGGAGGGGAAATGTGTGAAGAATATTCGTCACGTATTCTTTTTTTTTTTTCTTTTTTTTAATTTCTTTGGGATTTTTTTTTTTAATTTTGTTTTTTTGTTTTTTATTTTTTATTTCAAATCTTTTCTTCAGCAAATTTCATGTCATGAATTTTGAGTTTACTGGGCTGAGGTTAATGCAAAATTTGCAACATGATAAATTTCGCATTTACAGTATACCTTCTCCTACTAAATTCAAAATTTACAACTTCGTATGGATGCATGTCTTATATTTATATATGTATGACTGATAGACAGCCACACTAAATATTGGCGACTTATAACTGCCATGTCCATATTTTAATATTATATAGAAAGGCAATTCGTCAACTTTCATGCGCTTGAAAAAATAATCATTTTCCATAGTCTTTTAAAATGCGGACGTATAAGACATACATGTACTTTACTTAAGAGGTTTATTTTCATTCAACAAATCCAGCGATGCTCTCGTGTATATTGACACTAGGCAAACTTGAACTGGATGTCCGTGTATTGATAATGATAGTTAAAAACAGAAATCGATATGTTCTGGTAAAATGTGATTAAATATTAAATTAATTAGTAGAACCCGGGCTTTATTTCATATTGATTCCCCATTGTTTATTATCATCAGCTGTAGTTTTGTAGATAAAAATAAAGTGTTAATCGATTAACCTATTATTGGATTTTGTATTCCATGTTCACTATGTTAAGTATTGAAATTGATTTCCTTGAATGAAAAAAAAATCTCTGTCTACAATAACAGGTTTTTAGCTCACCTGAGCTGAAAGCTCAAGTGAGCTTTTCTGATCACATTTTGTCCGGCGTCCGTCTGTCCGTCTGTCTGTCCGTCTGTCCGTCCGTCTGTCCGTCTGTCTGTCTGTAAACTTTTCACATTTTCAACTTCTTCTCAAGAACCACTGGGCCAAATTCAACCAAACTTGCCACAAAGCATCCTTGGGTAAAGGGGATTCAAGTTTGTTCAAATGTAGGGCCACGCCCTCTTTCAAGGGGAGATAATTAGGAATTAGTGAAAAAATAATGGCATCATTTAAAAATCTTCTTCTCAAGAACCACTGGGCCAGGAAAGATGAAACTTATGTGGAAACATTCTCAGGTAGTGTAGATTAAAGTTTGTTCAAATCATGACCCCCGGGGGTAGGGTGGGGCCACAATGGGGGATCCAAGTTTTACATAGAAATATATAGGAAATATCTTTAAAAATCTTCTTCTTAAGAACAGTAAAGCCAAGATTGGTCATATTTATATGGAAGCATCCTCAGGTAGTGTAGATTCAAGTTTGTTCAAATCATGACCCCCGGGGGTAGGGTGGGGCCACAATTGGGGATCCAAGTTTTACATAGAAATATATAGGAAAATATCTTTAAAAATCTTCTTCTTAAGAACAGCAAAGCCATGATTGGTCATATTTTTATGGAAGCATCCTCAGGTAGTGTAGATTCAAGTTTGTTCAAATCATGTCCCCCGGGGGTAGGGTGGGGCCACAATGGGGGATCCAAGTTTTACATAGAAATATATAGGAACATATCTTTAAAAATCTTCTTCTTAAGAACAGCAAAGCCATGATTGGTCATATTTTTATGGAAGCATCCTCAGGTAGTGTAGATTCAAGTTTGTTCAAATCATGTCTCCCGGGGGTCGGGTGGGGCCACAATGGGGGATCCAAGTTTTACATAGAAATATATAGGAAAATATCTTTAAAAATCTTCTTCTTAAGAACAGTAAAGCCAAGATTGGTCATATTTATATGGAAGCATCCCCAGGTAGTGTAGATTCAAGTTTGTTCAAATCATGAACCCCGGGGGTAGGGTGGGGCCACAATGGGGGATCCAAGTTTTACATAGAAATATATAGGAAAATATCTTTAAAAATCTTCTTCTTAAGAACAGTAAAGCCAAGATTGGTCATATTTATATGGAAGCATCCTCAGGTAGTGTAGATTCAAGTTTGTTCAAATCATGACCCCCGGGGGTAGGGTGGGGCCACAATGGGGGATCCAAGTTTTATATAGATATATATATAGGAAAATATCTTTAAAAATCTTCTTCTTAAGAACAGCAAAGCCATGATTGGTCATATTTATATGGAAGCATCCCCAGGTAGTGTAGATTCAAGTTTGTTCAAATCATGACCCCCGGGGGTAGGGTGGGGCCACAATGAAGGATCCAAGTTTTACATAGAAATATATAGGAAAATATCTCTAAAATCTTCTTCTTAAAAACAGTAAAGCTATGATTGGTCATATTTATTTGGAAGCATCCTCAGGTAGTGAAGATTCAAATTTGTTCAAATAATAACCCCCGGGGGTAGGGTGGGACCACAATTGGGGATCAAAGTTTTACATAGAAATATATAGGAAAATATCGTTAAAAATCTTCTTCTTAAGAACAGTAAAACCATGATTGGTCATATTTATATGGAAGCATCCTCAGATAGTGAAGATTCAAGTTTGTTCAAATCATTACCCTGTGGATAGGTTGGGGCCACAATGGGTGATCAAAGTTTATAGAGAAATATATAGGAAAAAGTCTTTTTCTCAAGAACAGAAAAGCCATGATTACTCAAATTGATATGGAGGCATCTTTGGGTAGTGTAGAATGAAATTTGTTCAAATGAGGGCCCCCGGGGGTAGGGTGGGGCCACAATGGGGGATCAAATTTTTACAAATGAATATATGGGGAACAAATCTGCTGCTCAAGAACAACAAAGCCATTTGTTATATTGATATGAAAGCATCATCAGGTAGTTTAAAATTCAACACCCCCCTCCCTGTAAACTTTTCAATACTGTACTGATTTTTGCTTTTTTTCCTAGCCAATGTGCTCAGGTGAGCGATGTGGCCCATGGGCCTCTTGTATAGTGTATCTA